AAGTCGAATATTTCAACTACAATGAGCACAATAAGCTCTTGATAGACAAGGGTCTTTAGGTGTCATAAATTTTATATCATGACAGTTGATGTAAGACAGCTGAAAAAGTATTCCTGGTGAATAAATATGTTTTCTAAGGCATCTGTCATTGTAGCTACATAGATTTGAAATCTCAGCATCCTACACCACAACGAAACATTAAAAAGATTAAATTCTAAATGGAAAAATGTGTTGTCATTCTTCATTACAACGTTTTACTCAGATATGCCATTTCAATTTGAAAAGCACAGCTAAAAGTTCAGCAAGCCTTCTTTCTCTACATTTACTGCTAAAACAACCGATGTGGGAATTGCCAGATTATACAACTTCATTTTCTGTGTGTCCATATGAGCACTGTGAAAGAATGGAATGCTGCTGCTGGCCTCCCTTTTCAATAGGCAGTGGGCCTTCCCTGGGCTATTCATCTGATGGGCAGACTAGGACCATAATAAACACATCCCAAATGCATTTTCTCTATTCCGGCACAAATACAACCACTTGTTTTGACCAAGAAAATTTTGGCCTCAAATAATATATGTAGAACTGGACAAGTCTTACCAATGTAGAGTTAAACAATTAAATTAAGTGACAAATACATTTTGTAAATAATTCTGCATAAATCGAATTATTCATTGTTTTTGTTTGATAAATAGCTCCTAATTTTTTTAGACAGGGTCTCAATAGGCTGGATTTGAACTCACTATGTAGCCCAGGCTGGTCTTGAATTTGCAGCAATGCTTCCGGCCTCCGCCTCCCAAATGCTGGAATCACAAGTGTGCATCACCATGCCCAGAGAACTACCACTTGGAAGGCCCACAACTTGGTACTTCTAGCACTGCCAAGATAAGAAAATCACGATCTTTTCTTTCAAAGAGCTTAGAGTCTAATGTAGGAGATGGATCAGATATGCATACAATTATAACACCAGAAAGAAGGTTAAAACATGCTTTAAGAAAGTCACACATCAAAAAAGAGAATGAGAAGGAATTTTTTAGTAAGTAAAGAAAAGGAAGATGACTTCACACTGGGTGTGGTATTAATTTTGGACCTGCGGAATAAACAAGGGCCAGCAGTCACTGCAGACAAGAATGGTAGAGCGTGGAAGTAGGACATGACAGGAGCAGGGGCAGCCCCGTGGGAGCACCAGGCAGAGTGCCGAGTGGGAGAAAGAGATGCTAGAAAGGTGACAGAGGTCAGGGCAGAGCCTGGACTGCGGGATGAGAAGTCATCATAACCAAAAAGATTGATTCAGAGAGGTCTAGAGATACATAAGTGATGCAGCATCCTCTACACAAAATTACTGATGGTACCAGTATACCACTACAAACACCACTTAGGTACAACGGGGTAAGTACAGCATAGCTCAACTCAGAGTATGAATTTATTATCTATTTTTAAGACTGATGCATCAAATAGATTGTAAGCAATACCAAAATCTTCAAGTAAAATGTAGGAAAATTGTATCACCGCGTGTACAGTTGTCTTTGTCACATAATAGGAAGTGAAAGAGGAATATGAAGTGGAAGAGGAAATTTAGGGCAAGGAAGACCTCAAATGCAGAGAGACCGATTTACAACTCTGCTTCATGATTTTAAAATCACTGTCTAGTATACTGAAAACCAGAACAAGATTTTCCAGTTAATTTAGCCAGTGGCAAATAATACAAGGAAAATGCCTCCATTAGCCAGCAGGTGGCACTTGTACTCAGTATAAAAAACAGCAGGTGAGGAATGAAGCTGTCAGGTACAGATGACTCATTCATCTACTGCAAAGGAGAAAGATTGGAATGAGCTGTTCCAGCAGCACAGTTCACAATGAGGGTCCAGGGCTGTCACCACGGATTATGAGTTACACGGGGAGCAACCCCTTTATAAAATGCACCATAGGTAACAGGTCTTCCATTGGAGTTCTCCTATGATGTTTACTGAACTCAGGTATTTCTTTTAACAAATATGATTTGCAATCTATCTGTTTATTATAGAAATTAATGTGGAGATTCATTAAAAACATAAAACTAGAGGTTCCATTTGCTCCATCTAGTTGCCTTCCTGAAAAAGTTAAAAATGTCATGCCACAGTGATACATACACACAATTTTTAATAGTTAAATCTTGGAAACAGCCTCTATCCCCATGAACAGATGAACGGAACATGGAAAACATGTATTCATATACAGTGGAGCACTGCTTTGCCATAAAGAAGGATAAACTCGAGATACTTTTAGGTAAGGGGATGCTCCTTGAGATGATAATCGTTATGTGAAGTAAGTCAGACACCCGTGTTTAAATACTGTATGGCTTCTTTTGTATGGGAAACCCAAATTATAAACAAAGAGCAAAATGGGTAAATATTAGGAAGGAGGAAGAGCTTGTTCAAATGGGAAGAAGAAGAAGAGATGGGGGAGGGGAAGACAGGAAGCCAAAAGGGATCCAAAGGGAAAAATGGAAACAGCCTTTGTAAACCAAGATGGAAAGAAAAGTGGAGGGAAGGGAGGTGAAGGAAAATGTACAAAAAAAGAATTAAGATGTGTTAGGTACATGTACAGATCTCCCATGATGTGAGCATTATGTACTGCAAACATACACTCATTTTAAAAATGATAAAAAAGAAAAACTAGCCAATTCTTGGCTCGCTTCTGACATTAACCAGCTATCACCAAAGCAGAATGTGTGAATACTTTCATCATGAGTAGCACTGTTTTTAAAAGATAGACGCACATAAACTTAGCACATAATTTAAAAGTTGGTTCCACAAAGCGACAAATCAGGGCTCGTTTCCAAGCCTTCCTTTATGTTTATCTGTCAGTTAAAATGCTCTGTCCGTTTCCATTTGAAACACAAATTCAGGGCCACTCCTCTATGAACTTTCTTTGAAGCTACCCTTGCTATTGCCTTATAATAAACTTTTATTGTAGTTTTTAGTATGATCAGGCAAGTATTAAACAAATACTCTCTTGTAAGGGCTTGGTAACCTTTAAATAACTATTAGACTTGGTCCACAAAGAGACTGATATTATCTGAAAGCATATTTTATTGTACTGATTCAACAACCACAATTGAATATACAGTGAATTCCAGGTACTCCTTTTGTGTTTTACAGAGTCACAGTGACTGAAACCAAGACTATTCCTGCTCTTTTAGGTCTAACAGAGTATTACAGTAACTCTGAATTCATCAAATTGCCTGGCCTGGAACAGACAAGGGCAAGCTGTGCTCAGTGACTATCTCAAAAAACTAACCAATTGCTTCGGGTTGGTCCATTGAGGGCACTGAGAACTAGAAAGTACATTAAAAGCCGTGATACTATTTTCAGAAATAAATTTTATGATTTTTTTTTTACCAAAGGAAAAGGAAAGGTAGTGAAGGTTCTTATATTCTGTGAGTTAATACCACTGGATTTCTATATACGTACAGCTAAACTACTTTATTTAATTTGAAATGAACTGAATCTATAACCCTGATTTAAATTGTTATAGGAAACCCAACTACACCATGGAAGACAATGAGCGGAACCAGAGTCTACAATCTGTCAGTCCACTAGGTATCATCAAAATCTCTACCACAAGAATGAATAACACACCCAATCCTAAACAAATCACAGACTAAGTATGTCTTTGTGATTGGCACTATTGATATCCATGAGTGGGCTCTGATGTTTATAGAAAAGAAAAATGGCAAAAAAGAAAATCAATTCCAGATATACTAAATACTTTCACAAAAAAGTACAGAGTGGTAAACAGAACAAGAAACAAAACAAAGTTAAGATATTCCAAAATTGAGAAATCTACCTACTTGCTTATTTATTATAATAATCTTAGCCTGTAATACCTCTTCTGCTATTAAAACAAATCGAAGCTCTGCAAATTGCAGAAAGTTGAGCTAATTTGTGGCTATGGAGGAGGACTCAGAAGAATGTGCGTCCAAGTTATTCTTAGTATCTTTCCAAGATTATAGAGTGGAAGAGGAGGGTCAGGAGTCTTTTTTGTCTCATGTGGTGAGTGACTTGCAGTCCGGATGTTTTTCCACAGCAGAGGTGAGGAGATAAAACTCTACCTTATAAAAGCCCAGGAATACACATGATAATGTGTTGAGGTTATGGCCCTGACTCCTATTCCTCCAGCCAAGTTTCTGTTCTAACGAGTGTTCTATTTCCTCAGAGTTACAGCAAGTCAATGCATTGGACAGACCTTGCTGGCTTTCTCAAACACTATTTGAGGAAAGTGGCAGGTTATATATAAAGTAAAATACGCTGAATTTGAGTACTAAATTTGAGTACTAAATTTGAGTAGTTGAGTACTGAATTTGAGTACTAAATCTACGAAGTAAACAGAGCTCTAATTACTGTCTTACTTAAAAAATTAAAGTTTTTATTTCATCATTTTTTTATGTGCCACAATTTCATTAAGTGGAAACTCTCGAGTTTTTCCTTATGTCTTATTTACTGAGTTTTCTTAACTCAGTAAATAAGTTTCCTGTAAGAATTTAAATCAAGGTTATAGATTCCTAATGCCCTATTTACTGAGTTTTCTTAATAGTAAAATAGATTATGCCTTTCTGCATTAATAAGCTGATACCTTCTAAAGAACGCTTTACCTCAGGGGAGAGGCCTAATGAACTGAGTACAGACTAACTTTTGGAGTCATGAAGACCTGTGTTCCCACTGTGACCATGTGACTTTGGAAATGTGAGCCAAGTTCTACAAAACTCTCGCTGCAACTGTAGTGCAGAGGTAAATGTTCCTTTTGCTAGCACGCATCTTTGTATACCTGGGTTTAGGTAGCACATGCACAGAATGTTGCATAGAACTCTCTTCTCTCCTTTGGACTCACCCTCTAGAATATATCATAGATCCAAAGTGGAAGAAAAAAAAAGGGAGTAAAAAGCTATACCTTTTACTTGGATAAGCCATATTATTCCATTATACTAACACCTGAACAGTCAGTAGAATTTGGAAAAAAATCACAGCTCACCTGTGCCTGCTGTTCCAAAAGTTTATTTTGATACCTCTGGATCGACTCTCTAAGTTGCTTCTCTTTCTCACTTCTTGATAGTGATACTGTGTTCAAGGTGCCCAGAGGGATGTTAGGTAGACGTTCGATACCATGACAGCTTCACAATTAACAAGAAAAGATTACTATCAGGAGAAAATAGAAAGCTACCTCCTGTCTGTAAAAAATGTTTTTCTTCTACAAGGAGTTACATTATTTGTTACACATCCAAAAATCAAATACAAAATAAGATCATTATGTCGATGACTTTAAACCTTTTGAATGGAAAAGAGATAAATGAGCAATGTGGATGCAGCATATATTTATAAGGATGGGATATTACTTATTTTACTAGTGCTTCACTTTACATTATAACCCAATGAAGTTTTTTTTTTTTTTACAAAATGCTTTTTTGATCACTAAGGTTTATCTCATTACTAACATTCCCCTCCACACATAAAAAAATTGGTGTAGAAATCTACACATTTCTTTAAAATATATCAAATAATTCGGCATCTAACACACGGATCCTTTGGTAACTTAGTTTCACCAACAAGACTAGGACTCTGTGGGTCCTGGGATACTGATGAGGCTCTGGGGAACTGAGGCACACGGCATAGCACCTTTCCCTCTGCGGGATAAGCACCTGGGTTTAGGAAGCTGCTCCAGTTCCCAGTCTTATGTGTGATGCAGTCCTGTAGCATCGTGCGCAAATAAATGAACAAAAATCAGGCTAAGGATATGGACAACTATCCATTTTCCCTGTAAAATATACTGACTTTGGGGCTGGGGATATAGCTCAGAGGCACAGCATCTGCCTGGCAAGTGCAAAGTTCTGAGTTCAATTCCCAGAAGAACAACAACAAAATACTGACTTAGACATGTATGGCTTGCAGGTTTCAGGCATTACTTTTTCCTACTCTTATTTTTGTGACTCTGTTCTTAGGAGCTGAGTGAGTCAAACTACTAGATAGGGTTATTTTTTGCCCACACTGATATTGGATTTGGCATGGATAAGAACTTTTAACTTCTGTTGGGCCCAGCTCTGATGCCCTTGCCAACAGAGAAAAATGAGGGCTTCGATCAGATTCAAATACTACTGTGCAAAAAGACTTACTTGCACCACATATGGTGTTTGCTGTTATTGTTGTATTCATAAAAAGGTGCGAGGTAAACTAATGCTAGCAAGACCTACTATATATAGAGCTGCCTGGGTGTGGATTTGAAGACACCTGTAAGGGGATATTTATATAGGCCTCCATTTCATAGGAAAAGAAAAAAAATCCAAATCAAAAAACTTTTCCTACTAAAATGTGACCCATTCAATTTTTTTCACTTAAGGGCTTTGGAAATAAATCAAATTTTAATGTACAATATAATCTGTAGATATTTTTTAGCATCCTTTTCACAATCTGGACATTTTCATTCTGCTGAGAATCAGGCATCATTTTTACCCTGCTGGTGATCCCTACTTTTGGTACAGATAAATGCATAACATGGATGTAATGATAGTACACCAGTGTGTATTTCTCAGGTACTGTGAAAAATGTGTAACCCCTCCTGTGCTCAAGTGGAAAATAAAACTGCCTCAGAGTCTGAAAATGAATAACTGCATTTTACCACATCTAGGTAACTGATCTTGCAAACTGTCATTTGTAAAATGGTTTATTTTGGTCACTAAAAAGTATTAAAATGAAATTGGGCTTCCTGAAATGTAACAACAGGCCTTTTGAGAGGCTCTGATCAGACAGAAAGAGTGCAGGTTTTCTACCAGGCTCTTGGCTACAGTGTGGATCCTCAAGTGGAAGCCTGGGAGAGACACTGAAGCTTCTTTGCCTGTTTTCCCCTCTGAGAAATGGGGAGAGTTCAAGAGGGTTTTGTAAAGAAGGGTGAGTATAACACGTAATTGCCGTGGAAGAGGAAACTAATGTGTTTCTGGCCCAATTTCTGATTACAAAACATTGTTCATTCAAACGCCATTCATTGCCGTGAACCCTGTTGGCAACTGGTGATTAACTGTTGGCAACAGACTATACTTTCTGTAAATACAGCCAGTGCCACTTATCACTTCGCTACTCTTTGCCAGCAGTCATAGAACACTGCCTAATAAATAAGTACCTGTCTGTTCTCATCATTTAATGCATTTGTTCTATGTGATCTTGTCCAAATCTAACATAAAGACACTCCAAGATGTATACCAAGGCAGATCTAACAGGAGTCAGAGGACAGAGAGGCCATCACATGAATTCTTCTTCTGTCTGGGACTGACCTATGGACACCCTGAGCTCCCTGCCCAGGAAGTGCCAACTCTTAACTAACTGCCCTTGTAATAAGGGTTTTTTTTTTTTTAACATCTCCCTAAACCTCCTACCTCCACATTATGCATAATTTTGCCATGATCTTCTTAGTGGAAATTAAATACATATGTTCGCTATTATGTCAATGTATTTAATGATTCAAGACTTGAGAAAATTATAAATGTAAGCACTTTTTGCATTTTAGTTTTTAAAGTCCTAGAGTTTTCTGTCAACACAACTAAATTTGTCCTGCCTTGTCTCACAAGTTGTAGTATTTTGATGTGTAAAAGACAGAAGGAATGGAGCTTTGAAAGTAACCCTAGGATGATGTTATTGTTTGCTTTCAAGAGGAGAAGGCAAAACTGTATCAATACCAAGACAATGATAACCTGAAAATGAAGGAAGCTAGGAAGGACAGTTTCCCAGTTCTGTGCTGCTGAAAGTTCTCACCAGTGACCTAAGGAATCCTACTTCATGCTTAAATCTACAAGCAGTGGCATAAATCCTGGTGACTTGTCGTATGTGGATCCTCAGACACAAGCAATCTCAGCAGACGGGTCTAACAAGGGGTTCAACTGGACCCAGAGAAGACAAATTAAGACACAGCCACTGCACCCATTCCAGGGAATGGGAAGCTGGACAAATTTTCCTAGGATTCACTGCTGGTGGAGACAGTATCTTACCCAAGCAGTATGACCTGAGAGTCTGGATTCTAAACACTGTCCTAAGCAGTTGAAAAAGTTCTTAGCTCACAGTAACTAATTAATATTACTATTTTTGATATTGAAACTGAACCACTGCTGTGTTGTATTTTAGGAGAGACTTAAGTCCCAAATTAGGTGTGGAATCAGGTTCATAGTTAGACCTTGGCCAGTGTCCTATGAACATGTTTCTAAGCCCAGACATGCCTTTAATTCAGACTTTTCTAAAATTAGGACTGAGACTGAATTAGCTGTTTTATAATCCTGCTCCCTGGAGCTGTGGGATTTTTGCAGAGAGTAAGGGACAGAAATGGGAAGTGATGATCTTTGGTCCCTGGGTTTCTAGCCTTCAATTCAATGAGGGCAGTTGTACATTTATCTGTTTTACATAGTTCGGTCCTGTGAAAAACTTTATTTGAGAAATGCACAGATCATATTGCAAAAAACAAAGAGGAGGAAGAAAGGAGGAAGGAGAGAGAGGGAGGGAGGAAAGTGGGGAAAGAGGGAAAAAGAAAAGAAAAGAAGGAAAGAAAGGTTTAAGAAAATAGCTGGATCATGGGAAATGTAGGAACTCCTACAAACCCTGACATTTTGCTGCAGTCTCTGAACATAATTAACCTGGAGACTCCAAACAGAAAGCACTCCACAGCAGTTTCTGAATATCTTTTTTTCCTTTTTTCATAAATGGATAAAAATAACCAGGTAGGAGTTACTACCCTAATATCTGTGTTAGCAGTATTTGAGCCGCTTCCCTCAAGCCTGAAAGACTTAAAACAAACTGCATGAAGAAGCAACGCCAGACTTAGGGATGCCCTGGTCAAAAAGGAGTAGTAACTCTTTTCCCTCTAGGGAAAGCAGATTAATCTAAAAGAGCTTGTAATAACATTGACATCCATCAATATTTAATCAGTGTCTTTCCTGTTTTAGTCTGGGTGTCTTCCTTCAGGAACATAAAGCAATGGAATCAATACTCAACTTACACAGAAAAGAAAAAACTATGATCTAACAGTCTGATGCCCCCGCTTACAGCTCTGAGTCAGACTGTACAATCAGGATGTATGTTGTGGGAAAATGAACTGGAAGGCAGAACTCAGGAGGCTGAGCTCCTGCCAGAAGAAATGCAAGTCATACACGCAGATCTTCTATCTGATTAGAAATCACACTATCAAAATAATATTTTCATAGGCAGCAACAGAATAGAAAGAATTCAGAGATGCAGAAATACCAGGTACTCAGCCACATGCTACAGCCAACATTTTCCAGTTTCACAATATGGACTTTAGGAATTAAAAGTGGATAAAGAACTTTCATAAAAACATTAAAAACTACCTGTTATCCAAGCGGTTAGGATTATCAGCACAAATCCAAGTGTCGAGAAATTCTTTTTTCTGATAATTAGTAGAGGAAGGCAAAACTCTCCATTTAAGGCAGAGATCTGATCATGAAAACAAAGTACACACAAAAGAGACCACAATCATAAGTAAATCTCTCACAGTTAGATGTCACCTTAATAATAGCAAAAATAGCAAATCCCATACCTGATACCATTATCTCTGTGCAAACTATCTATAGTCTACGATTCTAGGTCTGACCAAGAAATTGCTGTCATCGTCATCTTCATGGTTGTTGTTTTAGTTTCCTCCAGTTGGTTTCTATTACTTTTAGTCAAAATAATCTTAATAGATTCTACTCTACTTCTTAAAGGACATTAGGAATTCCAGCACCTGACTCTCCTTTTCCCCAACCTATTATCTACCTGCTGACACTGTCTGTCTCCAACCACATAACCAACATAAGAAGGAAAATCAAAGTCTCTTAAGTCATTTACGCTCTTTCTTCTTCTGTTGCATCATCTGCTCTTAACCTGCTCTCCAGTCTGCAGTTCTGACTGCTTTGCCTTTTTTTTTTTTAACAGTCCCACCTGGCCTTTAAGGCCAAGGTACACTGTTTTCTCCAGGCTACCTGAGATTTGATCCACAATTCAATATGGACACAGGGAAGCTAGCTCTTGATAAATAGCCAGCCTCTGTTCATCCAAAGCAGAAGCAGTTTGCAGAGTGGTTAAGAACCTGACTGGCACCTTCTCTAAGACCTGGGACCTCTCTCAGTTTTGTCACATTTATCTGTAAAAAGATTAACACTAGGACATGTCTAAAAAGGTTATTTGAAGATGAAATGATATGATATTAAGAATGAAAGCTAACATTGCTAGACATTTTCCTAGGGATACTTATTAACTCATATTATTCCAAAATAATTCTACCAAGCAGCTAGAGGAATTGGCCTCATTCTAAAATGAGGAAATTGAGCAGTTGATAGGTCAAATAATTTGTCTTGGTCCATAGAACTCTCAAGGACTGGAGATCAGATTTTAGCAGTACCCAGAATACATCAAAAACAAACAACAAAAAAGCATACACACACATACACACACACAAAGTAATTGATAGTCATTATCATTATCATCTAGTATGTTTTGTATACTGCCAATTTCCTCAGTCATATATTCTAAATATCTGTATGCATGTTCTTCTTAAATCTCATTATCATGGATTAATATGGACACTTAAAATTTCTCATCTAGACCTAGATCACTCAGCACTGTGCCCTCAGAGGTCTGACCCTCCTTTTGTTTTCACCCTGTTGCAAATTATCCTTTGCTGAGCTGCCTCACGACAAGCCACCATCTACAGTCGTGTTATTCTGCAGTAGTCTCAGGTAAAGGATGAGGAGGGTCTCTAAAGGCACTGTATAAAGAAGTTTTTAAAGTCTTACACAGCATAAAGGCAGTTTAATCTCAATGTCTTATTAGCTGGACTTTTTGTTACAGAAAATAGATTGTCTTTAATTACTTAGTCCTTTATCTATATTTTTTCTAGTGGCTAGGAAATACACTGTATGCTTAATGATACAATGATATTATTTTCCTGTTGAAAAATGTCCAATACTTCACTATTGTTCATCAAGTAAAACCCCACCCTGGAATTCAAAGTTTCTGATGTATATGCCCAAAATAATATTTTTGTCTTTTACAATTCATTATTTATTCACTCAGTTGGCAATTTTTAAATTACTACTATGTGTTACAAACAGAAAAATGACCTTTTCTGATTCTCCACAAATGTTTTAGCTGAAGTATACCTCTGATGTAAACTGACCTTTCCCTGTGCTTCATTTCTGCTAGCGAAATTTAGTGATACAGACAATAGTAAACACTACCTCTGGCAGAAAATATTATGTTAGTCCCCACTCCCTTTCCTCAGACTCTAAAAGAACTCTTTGCTTCTATTATTTCATGTACCTAATTTCCCACCTATTACAACTACTTTAATCCCTCCCCTAGATTATAATCTCCTTGAAAGCAAAAAGGAAAAAAAAAACATATTTCCCCCACCCTCATCTGCCTACTCACCACTTCTTAACACCATCATTTGTACATTTGAAACTCATCTACATTGGCTAATTAGAATGGAATTCAACACTCACCACACTGTCTGATGAGTGGGATATCCATGGCTTGTCTTCGCTGGTATGGAATAGAATCTAAAGATTTCTCCACATCCTTATTATTCTGGTACCCAAACTCATTCCAAAATAATGTTAGATTTCTATTACCTAAATAAAGAAGGTAGGTAAATAATAATAAAACAAAATACAAGCAACATGATCAAAGGAGGACAGTATATAATGCAAGTGTATACAATATGATCTTAACTGTGTAAAACCTAATCGTATACAGAAATTAACATATTAATATTATCTCTAAGCAGTGATGCTTTAGACGAAATGCAGAAAGCTTACAACTTCTTGTGTTTTCCAAATTATTTACAATAAACATGTACTATGTAATAAAATTAGAGATAACAGCAGTTATAAAAAGATAACTTTTTATTTAGAAAGTTCAATAAAGCACACTGACATTTAAAATATTGTTCTTAAACTTTCCCAGGGAGAACTGTGCTAATTGAACTTTAAAGGACACTTCAAAAATTTCTGATGCAACAATTTATCATTTCTATCATACAGTCAGAGTTCCTCTGTTCTTACATTATCTCTGGTTCCTTTTCTTAACAGCTTTGTTTGCCTTACCCCAAGCTCCAAATTCTATATTCCTTCCTTGATTGGAAACATTCACATGGATGACTATTAGCTAATCCTGTGAGAGCCTTTTTATCCTTTGATCTAGCAATTGTACTAATAGTAATGTACTACAGCAATATATGAATAGCAAACAGTTAGAAATAGTGTAAAAGCCTGTGTATACAGAACTGATAAGTTCCATTCTCAAACAATGAAACACTGAGAAACTTTTAAAAAGTAGAACTAAATGCTGTATTCTACCAAGATATCCAAGATACCATTTCAAATTAAACACACACACCCTCATATAAATTTATGAATTTATAGAATTATAAATTTATAAAAGTTGTGATGTATATGCTTTTCCTCTCCAGAAAGAATAAAAAGTTTTAATAGTGAATACCTTTAGAGAAGATAAGAAAGCAAGAGAAATTACTTTTCTCTCTCACATTTCTGAACACTTTTTTATGTATGCATGTGTTATTTTAAAAAGCATTTTCTAAAAAAAGTGAACAAATATAATGCATGTTTTAGTATTTTATCCAATATGGTGACCAGTGCATATGTGTCTATTGAGCTTTTGAAATATGGCAGGCAGAGGACATTTTCATCAATGGAAAAACTTCAAGAAGTGTGTTCTGAGATTTAAACATGAAAAAGCACAATTGTAACAATTTTCACCCTTGGTTGTATAATTCATGGAAGGTACAAACAAATGACCCCATTCCTTACTATTCGTGTTAAAATTCAGGCTCAGAATACTACGTAATTTTAATTCCAATAGAGGAAGAAGCCATTCATCAAAAGGGTTTCCCTCCATGGCTGGACTGAAAACAAACCTCACAAATCCCTACACTCCTGTCTTGTCTCCTCACAAAATCCCTGGTTGCTCTTGACTGGGGATTTCAGGGGCTGGAGATTTAGCTCAGTGGCATAAGCACCTGCCTTGCAAGTGTGTGGTCATGAGTTTGATCCCTGGTACCGATAAAAACGAAAAAGACAAAAAAAAAATTACCTAATTGACTGGGGATTCCCTATAATTCTGCTTTTTACTATTTTCAATTCAGACTGCGAATTTCTGTTTCATCCAGCATTTTATCTTGTTCTATCTCATCATCCACTTTTCTGCACACCAATCCCCATTCACTACCTTCAGAAATGGAGTAGTTTGTGAGGTTTTGATTTTCTGATTTCTATATTAACTATTTTGTCTTTACTGAGTCAGGGGTTGCTGTAGATTAAAAGGTTGTACATATGGGTGCTGGCTTATATACAGATGCTATGCCTTATATCTAGATGTGCCTCCCACAAAGCCTAACATGCTCATAGATGGGGCTTTTGGGAGGTTACTTAATCATAATGTGGTATTTGTCACTGCATATTGGTTCACTGGTGGGTTTATACCTGGATTTGATGTTGGGAGCAAAGCCTGACAGGAGGAGCCTGGAGGGTATGCATTCCTCCCCATCTCTTGATCCCTCTCTGCTTCCTTCTTGTCATGCTATGAACTGTTTCTCTTCTGCTGTACCCCTCTGCCATGCTATTCTGCCTTGGAACTAACAGACTATGGGCTGAAACCTCTACAAACTGTGAGCCAAAATAAATCTCTGCTCTTTTAACTTGTGGGTGTAGGATACTTTGTCCCAGCAATGAGAACGTTATTGAGACAGTTGTGTAAGTGTTTGTTGTGTAAGTGTAAGCAAGCCACTAAGTTCTCTTACCCATAAAGTGAGTGATTACATTCACTTGACTTACAGAATCATCAAAAATAGTAAGTGCAAAAGCACACTGAAAACTACAGCCTAGAGAATTCTGGACAGAAGTAAATAGAAAGACCTGCAATCTGTTTGACCACTTTGACAGCAGTGGCAGAATTTAAGGTGACTCTTTGGAACTTTGGATGGCTTTGGTGATAAATTGCAGAAATTTGAGTCATTTCACCTCTTTACCAGAAGCAGCTACTTATCCTGTACTCCATCACCCTGTGGCAGGCAGCTATGCTCCTGCTACTGTAGAAGTTGGTGCACAGCTTGCATGGAGGACTTGGAATGGGAATAAAAGTACCCTGTCCTCCAAATATAAGGATCCCTGCTGTGACAGCTAATGGCAGCTTCTGACCACAGAATTAGAGATGAAGTAGAAACCACTGTGGTTATGCTTTTCATTACTGCAAGCTCTCCCTCTGGGGCTGAAGTGACTTCCACAAAATTGAAGGAACCAATGGCTTCACCCTCTCACTTTTCTTATTTTTCCCTCTTTAAAGTCAAGACATTGAAGACTAGTACATTCGAAAACGACCCCATGTGGAAAAGATAATAAAATTCATCAGTAAAAAGCACACAATCAGAAAAACCTGAAAAGAGCGACAGCCTCTTCAGAGGCTGATCCTTTGCACAGACATTGCCTTGATACAATTAAAAAACAAGCACTAGCATTACAGGCAGCTGAGTTAGTTAGAAATATTATAGGCAGTCAGACAGGTCTGAGCCCTCAAAGGAGCCAGTGCAGAAGTCCAGACACCTTGCAATCTTGGAGGAGAAAAACACCTCCCACTGTGGGCCAGATCTCAAGACAAAAGGCAAAGCAAATACAACCACATCTTAAGGATTGATAGTCCAAATAGTTCTCCATCACTCTAAGGAAGTCAGAAGTCACCATTCCAACCTCCCACAGGAAGAGTCACCACGGTTAAGTATGGCAGCTTCCTATGTGACCCCCTTCTTCATTTGTTTCTGAATTAATCAATTTTACCTGAGCAATTAATCTTACTGGTTGACCAGTTCTGTCCCAACTTATGTCCACCTTATGAATTCCCAGATTTCCCCTGCATTAGACTCGTCTCATCTCATGATTTTACACTATAAAAGTCACTAGAAAAGACAGTCCCTGGCAACCCTCAGGGTTCTCTCTCAGCAGCTTTCTTTCTCTCAATAAATATATTTTGCTCTTAACCTGTGTTGTTACTAAAATTCATTCTTTGATTTTAGATAACACAAACTCATATTGAATATAGAAAGTGAGAGTTTCATTCCCCTATATCACTAGCAAGTAGGGAAAAGAAGAATCTGATTTGCAGAGTTACAGTGCTATCCAACTCAATTGCACAGTTTACAACAAGAATCACGAGCTGGGGATTTGGCTCAGCAGCACAAGCACCTGCCTAATAGCAAGAATCACAAAAAAAATACAAAGAAACCAGAAAATACATTATGACTCATCCAAATGAAAAAAATAAGCCAACAGTAAGTGTTTTTGAAAAGGACCTAATAGAAAATCTACTTTACAAGGATTTTTAAAAACCATCTTAGGGGCTGGGGATGTAGCTCAGTGGTAAGCACAAGGTACTGAGTTGTACCTAGTACATCAACACCACCATCCTTAAAAATACTAAACAGACTTACGAGAGACAGATAGCAGCAGCTACGGAGGCTCTCTGAAAGACCCAGCTTAGAATTCAAGAATGGTGTGGAGTAAGGAATCATAAGCAAGAGGAGATATGCCCCGCTGACCCAAGAACGAACTGGGCTGAGAGAAAACAACTTGGAATGCAAATCTGGTGCTATAACAGGAACAGATAAAGCCTCAGTGTGGAAGCTGGAGCCCGTGGCATTGGAAGCCGCGATTTGGGTTTCCCGCCACGCGGCGGCTGCGTCTACATTGGCTCGGCAGGGAGAGAGACACGCGGAAGCTCTGAGAATGGGAATCGGCAAACGGAGTTGAAAGCAGGACGGGCGGGGAGCTGTGCATTGACTTGCAGAGAGGTGAGTGAGAGAAACTGAGGCTCTTCCACAGTTTAGGAGACACCAACACAGGACATTCTGGGACTGGGCAGACTTGCGGGAACAGGGCACTACAGTGACTTCAGCCACGTATCCCCCTCTCAAGCGGGATTGGTGAGCAGTGCCTAGCCTACATGACGCTGCTGGCTGAGACCCAGTAGGCTAGCACAATCCAGATCCCAGCGCCTGAGGGTGACGTGGAGGGGTGGGCCCCACATAGGCTGCCTGGTCTGCAACTTCCTGATGTGCTGCGGTGGGCGGGAACACCAAGCTGGCGCAATTCAATCAGACTGTGGCTGACAGGGAAGGAAGCTGGGCCTCCTATATACGCTTGCATATATAAGGAACAAAGAATATGGGAAGAGGGAGCAACAAGAAAGGCCCTTCGGCCCCCAATCCTGAGAAACAGGCAATAGCGGACACCACACCAATAGATATAAAGTGCTATCTCCAGAGCCTCATAGATGAGTTCAGGAATGAAGTTATTAATGACCTGAAGCTAGAAATAAGCAGAATAGTTAGAGAAATGCTAAGCACCACCCCCAAAAAAAAAAAAACCAGATGGTGGAATGAAAGAACAGAAAAAGAGAGAGAATTGTTTGATTGAGAAAATAGGAAAGCATAGAATATGTGAAGCAGGTTCAAAGAGATTACCAGGAAACTAAAAACTCTATCGAAAACTGGCATAACAGCTTGAAAGAAACTAAGGACAGATTATCTGAACTGGAGGGCAGATTTGTAATATGGGAGCATGAA